ATATATATATCTATATATATATATATATATATATATATATATATATCAAGATAACCGTTAACACATTAAATATATATAAATCATGAAATATGTCGCAGGTTCGAATCCTGTCACAGGAATTTTATTACAGTGTATTTATTTATTTATAGGACAAAATTCGTTGAAAGCTATGCTACACGATGTATCACGTATTGTGACCGTGAATGTGTTGGTGTTTTGCAGCTTCTTGTTCTTACCTGTTGACACGTCATGTGCAAGTTACACATTAACAGGATAATAACGTACAGCATTTCTATGGAACCAACGTTGATCTTGTCAAAACTTGTACACACAGAATCATATAGACGAGTGTATAGAAAAATACATGGATATCACAGTCTCGATCAACTACAAAAACGTAGAGCGTAGGCCTACAAATCCTGATTAGCTTTATGTCATGTGAATTTAGCTTTGTAGAGGTCGGCCATCAATGGGCGTATTGAGAGTTTAGAGAACGGCTATACAGAAAAAGCGTTGATGTGTATACAAAATAACACAATGAATTCCATACCGTTGAATCAGGTCTACCTCCTGTACATACTCTTACATCACGCATGAATGACATAGGCTTATATTTAACGATGTACTACATGTCATATTAGTTAAATTTTTTCCTGTATATCCACATAAACAATTATTATAACATGTTCTGATCAAATTATTATAGAAAAGTGGACCTACACTGTTAAAATAGTGCGGAGGGTTTACAAACTATAGTTCCATGCAATCTTTTTCCGTTGAAGTTTGATGCTCGTGTTATGCAGACTACATTTTCTGTGTGTTTTTAAGTCCATACTGTGTGTAATAAAGTATTATTATACTTTCGGCCTAGTATTTCTGGATTAGGCCTTTTCTTTATTTATCGCATTAGATACGGGTCATTGCTACTTCTGCGTTGGAAGTAGGCTGACTGCTACGGTACCGTGTATATTAAAATAGCGTTTAAAGATATGATAAAATGCCTAGTAAAAATTAAATTAAATTCCGAATTAATAAATCAGCTTTCTTTGAAAATCACATTGCAAACAGGTCGGATGTTATTATCGTAACCCAGTCCACACATAATATCCAATCAGAATTTGTTGAACGCTTGTGTAACAATATTCACAAAAACAGAAAAAATATTGCAAAATACAAAATACCAAAAAGGAATCAGTAAAAAAAATAAAATAATCATAACATTCAAAACGTTTTGAGTTTCCTAACTCCTCTTGGCAATACTGGCTTTACATTGTTGTCAATTAACTCTTCAATAATGTTCTAGTTGTCCAATAAAAATTTTTATTTCACTTTATTTCACTAATTGTTTCTTAAATAGAAATTGCCGGGAACCAAGTAGGCCCAGGCCTGAGGTCCCCGAACTAATCTTAAATGTCAAATAATCATTAATCTTAAATAACAATAAAAACAACCGTAGTTGTAAATACGGTAAATAATAGCATAAAAATAAACGGTTAAAGTGTTCATTGAGCAAATAAACGCGATATGTAGGATTTTAGCCTTTGATTTGACTACATTCAGAGAGCGCGACTATCTGAATACAATTCAGATAGTCTGATAGCTGTTTTATGAGTCGACTAACAACAACCAAATTGTTACTACACCACTTCAGTGTAATAACTCCCTGCTGAACCGCTGTTGACTACAGAACAGAGCTTTTACCATCAATTTAAAAAATTGATGGTAAAATGCGCTTGCAGTAAGCTTAAGGTGAACTTCCGAGTTTCCGAGTTACCAAGATATTTTATCTTGGAATTCCTCTAAGTGGCCGGAAATTGCACTCGCATACTTTTACAGGTATGTACATTACAATACAAAAATGTTTTTAAATACAATTTAGGGGGTGCGATCCCACCGTTGCACCCCTACCTGCATCTACCCGAGATATACCTAGTATTTTTAGAGGCCTTTTATTTATCTATCGCATAATAGATACCGGCCATTGTATTGCTACTTTTGCGTTGGATTAGTAGGGTTGACTGTTACTGTTATATTAAAATATTGTATAAAAATATGATAATTTGAGTAAGCCCAGTAATAATTAAATTCCAGATTATTAAATAAGATTTCTTTAAAAATCACATTGCAAACAGGTCTGAAGTTATTGTCAATTTCAATACGACTTTATTTCCCATTCCATCATTTCAGTAATCCATAGGCCTACCGTATATAACATCAAATCAGAATTAGGAATTTGTTGAACGCTGGTGTAATAGCAGCCACTGCCAAAATATAGTAATATTGTAATATACAAATTAACAGATAGGAATCAGTAAAAACCAATGAAACAATCAAAGCGTTTTGTGTTCCTCTTGGCAACACGTCTGACATTACATTGTTGTCAATAATGACTATTCAATGATGTTTCAGGTATATATAATCATTCATAATTGTAATAAAATACCGTAAATGATAGCATAAAAACCAACGATTAACGGGTTTATTGAGCAGAAAAACATTATGTAAGATTTTAACTGATATAATTTGACTACATTCGGAGTGTGCGACCACCTGAGTACGTGTTGTCAGACAGTTACAACTCCCTTTGAACCGCTGTTGATTATTGAGTTTCTACAATCAAATTCTAATGTTTCTTTTGTTTTTAAATGAACACGTGATATTGCGCTTGCGGGAGTAGCCCTATGTGCTCTTATTTAACCAATAAAAAGACATCCCATGCGTTTCACGCCGTTTGATTAACATTTTATCATTGGCAAACATCCGTCACACCTCACTCGTTACACTGGAAAGCTGGCGTCTTTGTTAAGTGGGCATGCCCGCTTTCCCATGCCTCTACCTTGTATTTGGATCCAATTATTCACTTTATAAAATTCGAGTTTGGTACCGTTTGAGCAGGCACTCGCGGTATCATTGACCGATTTTAGGGGGGATGGGTTGGAGTGTCAGTGGAGCATAGCTCTGACTCTTCCCTCACCTTGTTTCTTTTTGTCTGGGTGGTGACCTTTCCTTGTAGTCATGTCTTTGGCGCGTGCACCCAGGTTGTTAGTAATTAATTAGTTTTTAGGTATATTGATTTGATGCTTAATTTGTTAAATTAACGTTTTACCACTCTTCATGTACGATATATATTGTAATCGCCATTGAAGTATTTATGTATTGATCACGTGTCAGGTGTATGTCGAATGTAACAGTCTGAACTTATATAGTCATTCTGTATATTTATCTTATATATTTATATACTCTTTATATTTATTCTTTAGGGGCAGCCTTATGTTCCCATTCTATAAAATGTTTAGCTAATATAACGACATCAGTGGGTGGCTCCCCCATTACACGTTTTGAGTTATCTATATATTAAATTGTTTTTCGTCATTGAATAAAATGACAATTTCCATCTAATTCGGTGTTTGCTTTCTTTGTTTCGTCTTGTACTCGCTTCCTGCGGCATAAATATAATTGTGACCACTCAGGATGAAAATTAACTTCTGGGGATTTTTTTAAAGAATTCAAAAGTCACTGAATACCTTTATTGCAATCCACGTAAACAGAGATCGAATTACACAATACAGTAAAAAATTAAACGCAGAAAAAAAAAACCAAGATTACACTAGATAAATATTACAAAATTACAACATATTTATAGAGTTATCCCTGATATCACATGTATTTTCTTATTTTCATATTCATTTCGTTTCCAAATAGTTTATTGTATGTTTCGTGTTATCGCAATTAATCAAATCAAACATTAAGTAATCCACAATAATAAGTCTGTACAAAACATTAACTTAATTAATTTTCAATAAATAATTACCTTCCCATCCATGCCATTATATAAAAGGGACCCTCATCAATATTACTGACTACTAACAATTCTACTGCTAGTAAGAGCGTACGTATTACTGACACAGACAGACTGTTTTTTACTGTCGTCAAAGTGTTGCTGACTACATACAATCAGAATGCTTATGACTGCAATCAACATTTTGATGACATTGCTAAAAATAGGCCTATTAGCATTGGCATTTTTAGCAACCCGGACAACATTTACAAGCAGAAAGTAAGTATTGCTATTTACAGAATTGTTTCATTCATTCGAAATTCATATTATTTGTATAAATTTCAAAGAAAAAAGATCACACACAAAACCAAAAATGTAACCCACAAGTCAAACTTAGGCCTACTTCCATTTTGTTTATTTGAAAATATTTAGGCCTATCAATTAAAATATGAATTCATGGTCTTAATGCCTATCCTGCACTTAGCTAATTCCTCCATGGTGGCTGTAGCCGGCTGCACTAACGCTACGGTGAATTCCTTCTCAAGGTACCATATTTATATTCAGTTTTAAGATGCACCGGTCTATCAGCTGGGACAAATATTGTCTCAGGTTAAAATACAGGAAAATATTTTAAGAAACCAAATACAATTTTGAATAGCTATTTTAAAAGGATCAAATAAATTATTAACTTCCACGTACCAAGTTAAAAGTCCTTGAAGAAACAGATCGAAAAATGTTGTTTTCCTAGATTTACACAGACAATTTTACTACAAAATCCTTAAAGTGATTGCCAACCAATTTAAGGATTTCTGTATTGAAATGTCTAAAACTTTGAACACTTTTTTTTCGATCTGTTTCTTGGTGGAAGCTAATAATCTGTTATTCTTTTAATTGAGCTATTCAATTTCTTTTTAATTACTATATTTTCCTATCTTTTTAATGATAGTACATTTGTATATAGTTATATTGTTTTATTTGATAGGCCTATGTAATTTTGATGTGTATGTTTTTTTTTCTACACTTTTCAATTATGTAATTCGAAGTCTGTGTATTGCGTATAGTAAACTACTATAGTTAAAGAACATAAATAGGCCTAGATTAAATGATATTTTGTGATGTTACTTCAAAAAATACACCGTCGTTATCAGCAATCGATACATTTTCGCGTATTCTTTATTTTGATTCTGCAAATAGATTGGAAAAGCCAGAGTTGACCAATGACACCAATGAAGGCGTTAGTTTCTCACTGTTTTACTACGGCACTAATAATACTAATAGAACAGGTAACATTATAATCTGCGTATTTATACAGCACAACCACTCTATTGGGACACCCCCCCCCCCCTATTCACGGCAAGCCTATCTCCTATTTGTGGGGCACTTTTCCATGAAACGAGAATATATCTTGTAACATTATGACTAGCCAATTATTTATTTATTTGGCCATTATTATGGCCAAATTACGGAGCCCCTAAAGGGACATGGTTAAAGAAAATATTAAACTATTTCGAGGGAACGAAATAATATTTCGAGGGAACGAAATATTATTTCGTTCCCTCGAAATTATTTCGTTCCCTCGAAATATTATTTCGTTCCCTCGAAAAAGTTTGATAGGCCTATTTTTTTAAACTATGTCCCTTTAGGGGCTCCGTACCAAATAAACATTTATTCATACACTATTAGATACACTCTATTATTGTTTCACCCCAATTACAAAACAACAAAAATAATAATTTCATTCAAATTTATATATTGGCCACTTTTGAGCAACCATTTTTTTCTTGACCTTAAAATTGGACAAATTTCAATGTTTAATTTTTTTTAAATAAATATATTGTATTTGTACGTATTGCAAATTTTTGTTACAAATTAGTAAATTAAGACGTAAGCAGAACAGATTGTATCTCTTTTTTCTATGAATGTCATCTGTTCTACAACACGTCGATTACCAAAACCTAAATGTCTTCAGCTCTTCTCCAATGTGTACCTACATTTCTTGCAGTACAGTTTTATTTTATTTATTTTTTTAAAAAAT